TGAGAGCAGCAGTGCAACAGCAGGCAGTTCATCTCAGTCACCATCTGCTGCTGAAAGCAGAAGTGCAACAGCAGGCAGTTCATCTCAGTCTGCATCTGCCGCTGAGAGCAGCAGTGCAACAGCAGGCAGTTCATCTCAATCAGCATCTGCTTCTGAGAGCAGCAGTGCAACAGCAGGCAGTTCTCATTTACCATCTTTTACTGAGAGCACCACTGCAACAGCAGGCAGTTCATCTCAGTCACCATCTGTTACTGAGAGCAGCAGTGCAACAGAAGGCATTTCATCTCAGTCACCATCTGTTACTGTGAGCAGCAGTGCAACAGCAGGCAGTTCATCTCAGTCTGCATCTGCTGCTGAGAGCAGCAGTGCAACAGCAGGCAGTTCATCTCAGTCACCATCTGCTACTGAGAGCAGCAGTGCAACAGCAGCAACAGCAGAAAGTTCATCTCAGTCACCATCTGCTACTGAGAATGTCACTGCAACAACAGTATCAACAGCAGACAGTTCATCTCAGTCACCATCTGCCACTCAGAGTGCCACTACAACAGTTTCAGCAATAGATAGTTCATCTCAGTCATCATCTGCTACTGAGAGTGCCTCTGTAACAACATCAGCAACAGACGGTTCAACTCAGTCATCGACTGCAGCAGAAAGCACAACTGCAACAGTCTCAACAACAGATAGTTCATCTCAGTCACCAACTGCCACAGAGACAACAACTGCAACAGCAGCAGCAACAGACAGTTCATCTCAATCACCAACTGTCGCAGAGACAACAACTGCAACAGCAGCAGCACCAGATAGTTCATCTCAATCACCAACTGCCGCAGAGACTACAACTGCAACAGCAGCAGCACCAGATAGTTCATCTCAGTCACCAACTGCCGCAGAGACTACAACTGCAACAGCAGCAGCACCAGATAGTTCATCTCAGCCACCAACTTCTGCCATCAGCAGTACGATTTCACCTTCTGCAACTTCATCTCAAACCACTTCGGCAACTACCGAAACACCTTCATTGACTTCCACAACGACTGCAACTCTGGCTTCCACCGCAGAAACTTCCTCTGTCACAGAAACCAGTTCGTCATCGTCCGTGGCCGTTTCTTCCTCGGTAACCAACGGCGCCACAGACTGCACCAACGATGCAGGATGTAGGAATAGAGGGCGCTGTGTCAGTGGAAGGTGTAACTGTAGCTCAGGCGCTAGTTGGGCTTTTACAGGGGCAAACTGCCAGAAAGGTGAGCCATTTGTGTCTTATTCGATCATGTTACTACTTTTTGTCTCATTTTATCAAGTAACTATTAGTTAGGTGTATTGTGCAGATAAGTTCGACAACTATAACGATACGTTTCTATGAATAGAAGGGTGGACTTGTGGCTTTACATTAATCTTTTTTTCTGTGAAATAAGTCTTTTACTTTTATTTGACTGGATAATCAATTAAAATTTATTTTAGTTGGCTAAAATATCTAAGCGTTTAAATGCATCATTTAATCTTAATAGTTTACGTTCCCCTCTTCCCAATACAAAAAATATAGCATCAAAGCGATGTCATATTGAGGTTTCAATTTTTTTTTCAAACGCAAGTACTAAAGCATCCAATATATTCGTAATAAAATAATGATTTATTTGCACCCACAGTGGTACGGGGGAATAGGATGTACCCTTACGGTTCTTCACACGGCGATTCTTTCCTCACTGGGGACGACCGGGTCACTTCTTTCCAGATCCCAATATATGTCATCATGGGGACGTCAAAGAAATCCAGGATCTATGTGAGTGAATACTGGCTTTAGTAGCCGCACGTGCCAGTTGAACATTTTAAAAGAGCCCCTTATATTATTATTATTATTATTATTATTATGATGATGATGATATTGAATTTGTTGTCATACTAAAAATTTATACTTACCATTGCTTCTTTAATTATTATTTTCATTAACTGAAACCAGCACTTTTATAGGTAACAACCAATGGGTACGTCTCCCTGGGGCAGATATACCTAAGCTACAGAAGCGCCGCCTGCAGCCGTCTTTTGAATAATGTACGAACCGCCATTATTGCGCCATACTGGATGGACCTGGATGGTTGCACCGTGTACACGGGGATATACGATTACTACAGTGACTACAACAACAATATTGCTGGGTCGTACGTGCTTCAGAGGGGCAGGGAGGATGTTCAGAACTTTGCCAGCAGTGATGTGTTTAACGCTACCATGGCGACGGTGGTCACGTGGGAAGGTTGTCGTCCATTTTCCTCCTTTGGATCAAACGAGGTATTTTGCTTAGTTTATGTAAAGAATCTATCATTCTATTTTATTATATATGTCTGCCTTCCTTGTTGTCTTATGTTGATTTAAATGTTAATTTATATATCCATACATACAATAGCTATGACGCCAAGAAATTTTCTGAAAATTAAAAAAGAACTTAGGTTTACTATTATATTATATTATATTATATTATATTATATTATATTATATTTGATTCAAATTGTAATCCTAATGTAGGAGGCCACTTTCCAAGCTGTTATTCTTTCCGATGGCGTACAGTCGTATGTAATATTCAACTATAAAGACAACGGTATCAGTATAGCGGCAACTACCATAGAGAAGAAGGCAGCCCTTACTGTAACAGATGGAAATAATTATTGCAAAACGGGGATTTTCTCAACGCAGGAAACAATGGGGAGCATTGATAAGTTGGTGGGCAATTCAGGTGAATTAATTAACCACTAGGTTGGCGCACATTAGTAGCATGTAAACTGAGCTACTGGTAGCGCCGCAAGGTTTCCATGTCAGCTCATAGATCCCAGAGCTCGGGATCATTATTATAATAGAAAGTGTTTTAAACGATTAACTAACAATGAGGAAGAAACAACCTTGTAGACCTCATTTACCTGGAAATGTCACATTTGTATGGGTTCCAGCCTAACAGGCACCTGCAGTGCATATTTTGGATTTTCTGTAGCTCGATACTACTGACTGAGCACTTAATTGTTATTACAACCTTATTTCTTAACGGTCCAAATTTTGAAAATATCGATTTATAAAATGTGACTCATTATTATTATTTTATTTATTTTTTATTTATTTATTTGCACTTACCGTTGTAGAAAAAGACGGTTGCCGGGTTATAGCGTCATGAAGTCGTGTCGTTATGACGCTGCACAATGCAAGAAGATGGCCTGGCGGTCTCAACATTAGTTATAAAACCGAGATAACATTTGCTCTACGTAACTTTCTTCCAGGTGAGATAGGCGTTTGGTTCTACCAACTCTACACCAATCCTGCTGATATCCCGAATTACGACCAGAAGTGTCGAGACTGGGCAGCCCCACATAGTCTGTTCCAGATAGCAGTTTTCAGGGCGGTCGCCTTTCCCTGCCCTTGCTCTTTGTTCCAGGCTTGGAGGGACTTCACATTCGCCAGAACGCGGAGAACAGGGAGCGGTGAGTGACTAAAACCCTCTTTACACTGGACAGCGTCTTTTTTGTGTCTTTTGTGCGACCATGAAACTGGCATCGCTGTGGTTGTAGGAAGGAGGCCCAAGCATCGTTTTGGTTGCAGAGTGAATGCTTAATGACCGGCCAATTGTCGGCACGTAAAGTATTGTTTTATTTTTACTGTCAAATGGAGTCGTGCTGCAGTACACAGAAATGACGCCGTCCAATGTAAAGGGGTTTTTACAAAGTTTATGCAAAGCTGAGCGATATTCGACCGCTGTGAAGTACGTTACTACAACCCACAGCACAGGGTGCACTCTAATGGCTGGTCCCGGAGGGGGGATCAAAGTTGGCACGTGCTTCTCAATAAAAGACACAAGGCCCCCCTCCCCCCCCCCCTTTTTCAAAGAGAGGAAAGAAAAGTAAAGCGATTCACACGTAGAAAATAAAACCCAATTGAATTTTTTTTCATTTTCGTGTATATATATATACTTTATATATATGATTTCTAGTATCCCTCTGGCCCAATAATCATCCTTACACTTTTCTATATAGAATACAGTGGCGTGGTCTGCTTCACAGCAAGATGGGAGGTCTTGGTGTTTGGCAAGTTAATCGGCCAGGTGAGCCAAATAGACGATGTTTTTAACTTGTCACTTTTTATTATTTTTAACATTATTATTTTTTAAAGGTCTAATGTTCACGTTGTCGACACATATCGATGACGCGTAGCCAAGCTGGCCTCTTTGTCCACTATATCATATAAATCATTTCTTCTTCTTATTATTATTATTATTTACATTATTATTGTTGTTGTTGTTGTTGTAGTAGTAGTAGTAGTAGTAGTAGAAGGGCCTAGTATAAGGTTTATTTTCTATAGGAATGTTTGGGGAAGGTGTGCAGTTCTTATCCCGCCTCTCCCCAGCTTTTCCATTAGATTAGAACCCATTGTGTACCTTGCTTTCTATAACTCTCTGAACGTTTTTCACTCCAGGAATGCTGCTACAGCAGGACCAACTTTGCCCTGATCACTGAAGCTAACTCAATAGCAACGGGCTCGCTGCAAGTGAATCACGAGAGATTTTTGCCTACGAATTATCTAGCACAAGACTTCAACCCGAAGCTGGACTGTTGCCTTCGTTCCGACAACTGTGAAACATACTTCACTTACAGACCAAATAATGATTGTCGAAATTATATTCCACCCAGATTTAGTGAGTATCATAGACTGACGATGGATTAATAATTCTCAAAATACGTGCATTATATTGTAATACAGCTTTATGGGTAAATGCCCAAATTCTAAAATAGATATAAAATATATCTCATTAAGTGTGCAACTTATAAATTCTTAATTTTTAATTTTGATTTTTTATCTTTTTTTCAAAATTTAAATTTGTATTTGTCGTACTTGTAGCCTCATTTGTTCCAAATATTTTAGTCCATTATTCATTACTCATTATTTTTTATTGTTTTTGTGTTCCAAACACATCTTAATTTACTTTTCATGATTATGAAATAGCAAATCAAGCAATGTGTTTATGACTGACAAGATGAATAATATAGTTTAAGCGGCCTATTTTATTAATGTTGAGAAATGATATATTTCAGCCTTTTTCTTCGGTGACCCGCATTTTAAGACATTGGATGGCCTACAATACACATTCAACGGGCGAGGGGAGTACTGTTTAGTGGATATGGCTAATAAGACGTTCCTTCTGCAGGTGAGGCGACGGAATGTACCGATATGTTTTGCTGAATTTTTTATATTTTGTATTCTCTGAAATATAAAACGAAAATGTAAAAAAAAATGATAAAAGGTTATGATAATGAATTTATTTGTTTATTTATAATTCATTTGGGGAATTAATGTAATTGGGACGGATTGTAATGTCCAAGTGACTTTGATAATGATAGCGGTTTTTTGTTACAATTTAGGGGAAAAAGTAAAGAATCTGAAATAACAAACACTGGGTTACGAATACTTAATGATATTTTAACATGACCGTCTTCGCTTTAGACTCGTCTTGAGCAAGCTATTCCCAAAGGCGGCGGATTAGCCAACGCGACCATTTTCAGCGCATTTGTAGCAAAAGACATTAATTCGGACAAACTTCAGGTTCAATTGACCGAGGACAGGCAAGGTAAAATTAATCTTTTAAAGAGTTGCAACGGTCTTACTCACTTCTTGGTTAGTATTTTTATCGCTGTTCTCAAGTTTATTTGCTTTTTTTTTCTAATAATAAATGAACCAAGTTTTAACAACCTCTGATTGAAAATAAAATTCTATCCATTTGGTCTCTATTGCCTGCCAGGTTTTCATTTCATAACTGCGTTTCACTTCATTTTAGATATGAAAAGTTTATTTTATTTTATTTTATTTTATTTTATTTTATTTTATTTTATTTCATTTATTCATTTTCAGATATGGAAATATATGTGGGAACCACTCTGGTATCACCAACACTACTATCCAGTGGCAGCGCGGAGTACAACAACTTGGATCTCCTCTACAGCGCCGAGCAGAAAACTTTAACTGCCATATTTGCTTCACGTAAGGTTCAAATTTTTTCGGAAATCATTTAAATATCTCATTATTAAAATGGTATAATTAAAAAATGATTTTTTTTTTTAATTTTCAAACGTGAAAGTTGAAAATACGTCGCTAATTAGATTGCAATTAGTGTGCTTTGTGTAAATGAATTTACATTGTTTTCTGGCGAGTCTACGGGCACGTGTTTATTATTATTTTTGTATGCCATCACCCATTTAGATAAATATTTTATTTTCTCTGCACTACCGGTGCATCTCTTTCAAAGGGAAGCAATATCGGAAACCAGAGAATACGATCATAGATAGAAAAAAATCACGAGAGCATTGCAAATATGGAGATTATACACTGCTAATAAGACGTGCAATTTTCTGTATAGAACGGGTCTACATAGTGTGATTAGGGTTTTGGCATTCTGTAAATGGATATTCCGTTATAAAGCCACTTTTCCATTTCCAGAGGTGACGCTGAATATTACCCTGGGGGTGAACCTGCTGATGTTCTCCGTTAACGTCCCCGAGAGCCGGGCCAGTCAACTAAAGTGCCTCATGGGCAATTACGACGGCAACACCGAAGACGATCTCACTGCCAGAAACGGCACAGTTTTACCGTCGAACTCAACTGACGAACAGATATATTACAATTTTGGAGAAACTTGTAAGTAATAACAGAGCACTTTACTGTACAATATATAAATAATTGCACTGTCACTTTTATTTTAATTTGATTTTTGTACTGATTATCCAGATATGACCCAAGAAGTCTTAGCATTTTGATTATATCACTCCATACATTTACACTGCTATTTTTTAAGTAATGAAAATATTAAATGTTTAAATGCCTCGATTGCCAAAACATAAGAGGTGTTCATTTAATAAGTATCTACCATGCTCTTATTTTTGATTGGCTTTTAATTGTGTAAATACTCAATATTTTGCCTGTTTTCTCCATTGTCTTAATGTCGTTCCCACAGGGCGTCTAACTGAAGCTGAGAGCATGTTCGACTACCGTCCGGGTTATTCCGCCGCCAATTACACGGATCCTTCCTTCCTGCCCGTGTTCACGGAGAATCTCGAAGCAACATACGGGACTGAAAAATACAGCAGTGCCGTTGCCTTGTGTGATAACCTTAAGGCCTGTGTATACGACTTCTTGATAACAGGCGACGGAAGTTTGGCCAATGAAACCAGGGACTTTGATGTTAACGCTGAGAAGATTAAGCTTGAAATAGGTATTGGTGATAGTTTTTAATATTTTGTATATTGCAGGATCTCTCGCTGAATGCAAGCAATTAATTTATTTACACGCCTCCTCTTATTTCCATCGTTCTCGCGTAATCATGCGTTTCTGTTTTCTACCCAACGCAACGAAGAGGCGTGTAAATCTAATTGCATTCAGCGAGAGTCCCTGCAGAGTTTGATCAATCTATACACACTGGACAATAGAAGTGTCACCCCTACTGAACCAATACTTTGGGGGAGATAAATGACTGTGGAATGATATGCTCCTGGTATCATGCGTTTCTGTTTTCTACCCAACGCAACGAAGAGGCGTGTAAATCTAATTGCATTCAGCGAGAGTCCCTGCAGAGTTTGATCAATCTATACACACTGGACAATAGAAGTGTCACCCCTACTGAACCAATACTTTGGGGGAGATAAATGACTGTGGAATGATATGCTCCTGGTATCATTTTATTAACATCAAATTTCACAAAAAGACCAACAATACAACCCCATTGTACAGCGGTAGTTCATTAGTCACATTTTAAGTAGACCGGGCATTATAACTTTGATTATAACTTTGATTTTTTTTTTCGTCACCGATATGATTAGATTAGTTTATTTGTATGAATAACACAGATACTGTTGTTTATGAGAGGCATTGAAAGAAGTCATCAAAGATTGAAGTAATCCTGAATACTAACCAGTGATGGGGTGTTTTGTTAAATCTTTAGAATCTTTAGAATTATGGAACAAACTGCTTTTTTTCACATACATGTACATACAGCGGTGTATTAAAACAGTTTATGGTATCACGCCACTCCGATGATGTTGCTTGTACTAAAAACAAGGAAAATATAATGTATGATCGAATTCATATTTTAAATTTTTAGAAAACCGCAGTCCAAATATCACAAGCAATCCTAGGTCGCCGATTAGAATAACTGTAAACGTGGAAGAGAATTTTGAACTAGAGTTCATGGACCCGGATAATGACACCATCACAGCTAGTTTGGCTTACAACAGGAGTTACACGGAAATCAAAAACGTCACGGCTAACAAGTTGATATTCGCGGTGAATGCCACGTCTGTGACCGTGAGTGGGCCTGTAGGGTAAGTGCACCTCATGTCCGGCGCACATGGTTGTTCCAAGCTGAGCTGACTGACAAGACTGGTGGCTCAGCTTGCATGGATTGTGTGCGCTGGATTATGCGTGAAGTCTCATATCACAATCTTACATCATACACGCCCATGAACGAAGTGTTAATTCTAAGTCTAGAAGATTCATTTTCCACCTTATTTTTAGAATGCATCTAGTTTTAGGTTGACTTTAATTGTACCACCAGCGTAGGCGCTGGCGGTACCCATGGTTTTAGTCCCAACCCGTATGTTCCGCCGGCTCCGCCAACACCTGCGGCTCCGCCGCCAAGTCACCGTTACCGCTTCTCCTCCTAGACGGTAAGGGCCCCTGTACCCATCTCTTGGATTTAGGTCACCTATAATCTCAACTCGTTCCACGTAAAATTTGGGCTTTGTCGGTATTGGGGTCTAGGTGTGGCACTCATTGCAATGCACCCTTGTCTAAAAATGGCAAAATTAAATGCTAATTATCTACCCTACGGAAGGAGTTATGGGAAAAATTTCTACAGACAGCTTTCCAAAAGTCATATGTGTAGATTTCAAATATGCCCTTGGATTTGACCTTTGACCTTTATTTCAAGGTCAAACGGGCCAAAATTTTTAAAAAAATGAATTTTTTTACGAAAAAAATTTTTTTTGCCCTGTTATTCAGATACCACACAGACTTAACCAATAATATTATTGGAAAGTGTAACCCTTCGGGTCATCTTTCATCTCCGTGAATTTGGGGTCAATCGGTGCATTTTCACGGGAGTAGCGGCCATAAAGTACCGAAACTGAAAACTGTCTCTAATTCGGGAACCGTTAATGCTAGAGACCCATTCTTTTTTGCATTTTGTAGAGCATGTAAAGCCCAACACTGGAAGTGGTCTCCGTTTTTTTGTATTCCATACGGTTTTCGAGTTACGCTGTATCAAAAAGTACATATTGGTGGTAAAAGCAAAATGTGCAGTACGGTAATGGATAATAAATTTTGAACTCTGGAAAAATAAAACATAAGGCTTGGCAAAGCAGACAACTTGTGTTCAAAAATGACATTATTTCATCAAATTTGAACTTCTGAAACTTCAGAGCACCTCCTATTTCAAGAATTTTGACCAAAATGACATTTTCTTTATTTTAATTAATTTTTTCTGTACGAAATTTAAGGCACATTATGGTAACTCCAAAATTATAACATTTAGTCCCTTATATCTCCAAAACTGGCAGAGATAGGTCCATAGTTACTATTGAAGTTGAATAGGAAGTCATATACTGGCAATCTTACTGTGACCTTGAAATTGACCTTTGACCTACTTTTCACCATGAACTGAACTTTGCAAATTTTGCTTCCCTTTTATCTCCAAAACTGGCAGAGATAGGTCCATAGTTACTATTGAACTTGAATAGGAAGTCATATACTGGCAATCTAAATGTGACCTTAAAATTGACCTTTGACCTACTTTTCACCATGAACTGAACTTTGCAAATTTTGCTTCCCTTTTATCTCCAAAACTGGCAGAGATAGGTCCATAGTTACTATTGAAGTTGAATAGGAAGTCATATACTGGCAATCTAACTGTGACCTTGAAATTGACCTTTGACCTACTTTTCACCATGAACTGAACTTTGCAAATTTTGCTTCCCTTTTATCTCCAAAACTGGCAGAGATAGGTCCATAGTTACTATTGAACTTGAATAGGAAGTCATATACTGGCAATCTAAGTGTGACCTTGAAATTGACCTTTGATCTACTTATTATCTTGAACTGAACTCTGCTAATTTCTTTCTCTTTTAACTCCAAACCTGGCAGAGATAGGTCCATAGTTACTATTGAACTTGAATAGGAAGTCATATACTGGCAATTTACTGTGACCTTGAAAATGACCTTTCACCTACCTTACGATGAACTTAAATTTGATTGTACCATTTTTAGTTTCATATATTTTTTGCATATATTGAAAATTCTTGTTGATTGCATGTTTACAGTTTGTCAAGCACAAGACTGGTGACTGTGTCCCTTATTTTGTGTATGTGGGGGTCTATACGAATGCGCTTGCTCCAGCTGGTGGTACAATATTCGGAGGCCGTATCGCCTCTCTGATCCTCTAGTTCGCTATGAAAAAAGTTCAGTGATGAAAGTTTTCTATTTTTTAAAAAACATTGTTGTTTCCATTTTTTGCATTGACTCTCTGCGTCCGTTTCCATTACGTGCACTGCTTGCATTAGTTATCACATAGAACCATTCTAAATAGTATATATCGTGTTATATTACTTTAATGAAGGGTTCAGTTAACCGATGGCAGGGGAGGATCCACCACTTGGACCCCAACGGTTGACCTTTGTTCCGGTTGCAGTGGCCAAGGTTCGTGTAACTTCGACCAACTCCGTGACGGCCAAAATGTCGACAGCTCCATCCGTTTGGTTAACTGCAATTGTTCAGTGGGCTACACAGGTGTGTTTTATGTGGTACTTTTTTTTCTAAATACACCTTTGCCTTTATCCGTCCCTTCGTACTTTCTTCAGTCAGTTAGATTACCTCGGCAGATTCCACGGATAATAAGGCATACCCGAGAAATAATCATATTCTTCTTTGTGGCATGTTTTGAAATGCTTAGAAATTGGGTAAAAGTTGTATTAAGACTTAATTTGGTCAATTTAATATCAATACCCTATCTAATTTACATAGAAATGATTTATTTTTACCTTATAACACAGCATAAGGTTACCTGTATGTGCTGTGTACTACTATGATAACAGAAAATTAAACAGCATTATAACTGGTACAAGCTTTTACAATAACAGCACTGGTAAAAAAAATAATCAAGAATACATAACTTTGTGTCATTACATTTTAGGCGTGGACTGCGAGTCAGAAATTGACGGCTGCGCAGACAACCCATGCCCTCCAACCGGAAATTGCACTGACCTGACCCCTAGCGAGGAGGAGACGCAGGGAGTGTCTTTTAGATGCCTCTGTCCATCCGGGTATTTCATACTCGGGTTGAAATGCATAGGTATTTGCATGATAACCCCACGGACACAACTGTTTGTGATAAGACGACAAAAGAGATTCTTACTGCACGTTTTCGATCAGAAATTTACATAGTCACATCGAAAATTTAGGCTAATTGCTCAGTATTTATGTTAATGTAGGCATCTTTTTGCGTATGTTCATGTACATGTATACGGATTAATTCTGTACACAGTGTATCAAATAAAGTGTTTGCTGCCACTGAGTTGTTACAACGTTCACGTTAGTTGTAGGCCTCATTGTTTTTTCTTCAAAATTTATTGCAATTATAATGCGATTAAAATTTAATGCTGCTATCAAGTTCAACATACGTAATGTATCTTTATTTGAGTGCAAAGTAGCCTACATTTCATTGTATGTTTAAGTCATATACAAATTAAGCTTTTTATAAAGCAAATCATTCTTTTTACACTATTGAAGTTGAAATGAGAGAAAAAGAAATCTGATATTGCGTTTTGTTTTTCTTGCAATTCCCCAGACATTGACGAGTGTTCTAACGCGACACTGAACACGTGTAACACGTCCATTTCAACGTGCGTTAACATAGATGGCGACTACACGTGCACCTGTCATTCTGGATTCAGAAATACGGATGCTAAAACGTGCGTCGGTAAGTAGGTCTTCCTCTTGTTTTTATCCAATTCTTCTTCATTTCCTACTCTGTTATTATTGTTTGTCTTTAAAATATGTTTTGTTTATTTATTTGTTTATTTATGTACTTATTTATTTTTACTTTGCTTATTTTGTGAGTTGGTGAGTTTAGATAGGTTGTAAACATATATGGCATTCGGAAACTATATTAATAAGTATATTATGATCAACTTGTTTGGGGCACCTTTAAATATTCTATCATGTTTGGCTCTCTCTTTCTTTCTCTCTCTCTCTCTCTCTCTCTCTCTCACACACACACACACACCAGTATGCCATGGACATTTTCCCTGAAGTATGAATACCTCTATGTTGTCGGTATTTTCTTTTCATACCATACCGCGAAGTGTCTTCTTCCATGCACGTCTGTGTGTGTTTCTTGCAGATACAGACGAGTGTACCGCCCGTATTGACGGTTGCCAACAGATCTGCACCAATACGATTGGAAACTTCACCTGTTCTTGCCAGACTGGGTACACTCTAGATGCAGACGGGAAAAACTGCACTGCTACAGGTATGCTGAGTTGTTTTACGTTCATAATATTCAAATTTTCTTAAGACAGCGTAAGACAACGTATTGTGCAAACACCATAGGGGTCATCCAAGATAGCATTTGACGAGACTATCGCCACTGTGGTTAGTTAAACGAGATAAAAAAAGGTGCAAGAAGCCGCGTGAGGTGGGATTAACTAATAATAATACACTGATAGCGACTCTCTGTGGTGCTTATTACTGGTACAAACATGCTGATACAGTTAATAGTTATAACGTGCGATTATATTAACCATGAATGTACACTAAAACTGTATTTAATGAGAACATCTCATTCACAGGTATTCCCCCTTCCCCCGTCACATTGCACCATATTGTTATTTTAATTATCTACCCTTTGGTTTTTAGACATTGCTGTATGTGCGGGTCATCCTTGTGTCTCCCCTGCGACTTGTTACAATAACAACGGGTCACCTGGTTGTTTCTGTCCACCTGGATACGACTTACTGGCGGATAGTGTGACTTGTAACGGTGGGTCGTACGAACCTTCACGTCTTATTGGTTCTATACAGTAGTCTGTGCATGAGGCGGGCAGCTTTGGTACCGGAAGATTTGTCCACGTTACTTGAATATTCAAGTAATATTAAGCAGTGATCATATGAATTTAAACTTATGACAAAGACGAAAAACCGCTCCGTATTACTGAAAAACATCGAACCCATTGCACACTAAAATACAGGTTGGAATAGAGTGCGAATTGTATAGTGTATGAGCAATCGAAATATAATTACGATTTAAAATCCAGTTGAATCATAATTGCCCTTTGGATTTATCTTAGAAATGGTTCAGTCAACCTTTAATCCGACAGCTATTTTTATATATGAAATCGGTGATGTAGTATTTGACCTATGTGGGACATTACTTTCAGATATTGACGAGTGCAGTGGCAGTAATTTGTGCAGCGCAAACAGCACGTGTCAGAACACACTTGGAGGATACGAGTGCGCATGTGCAGTAGGATTTAAGCGTGAGAGTGACATGCGCACATGTACTGGTATGTATATGCATATGTATATACGACTTGCATTATTCGTCTCGTTTTCGATATTGAGCGCAATGCATTGTGGGTAAAGTGGGACCCATCTTGCGTTGCCGCCATTTCTGTCCACAGAAATAAAATGCCTCTCGACGGTTCTATGTGTTTTGTGCCTGTTTGTTTCAACAATACGGAGCGAGATCGAAATTTTTCATTTTATGCTTTCCCCAAGGACCCAAAAAAGAGAGGTATATGGATTGACAATATTGGACGAGCGGGAAATGAAGGCAAATTTAGTAAGTTTGAGCCCGCCAAGCATCACCGTGTGTGTAGTGCTCATTTTGAAGGAGGGAATAAATCGTATTTGGGTGGGAGACCAACTATATTTTCACTCAAGAAATCGAAGATTCGTAAGCCCCGAA